TAATTATAACTAGTTATGATTAATTATTCATATTTCCCCATGAGCTGATTCGCTACAACAGGCTTTCTGTTGTAACATCGCACAAGGTAAATAAGGGTGACATCTAGTGGAGAAGACTAATGATAAGATTCACATTAATCAGATCTTGTTTTAAATGTGTGCTGAAATAAATACTGGAAAAGATCAATTCGCGGCTTTTGAGAATCGATATCGAATCGAAGTCATTTAAAAAAACGATTAATCGAAAAATCGAAATTTTTTTTGCCCAGCCCTAGTTATTATGGACTGGTATTTTTATAAAAAGTAAAACATTTTTAATAATGAATTTATTACAAACAAGCAGCTTTTGGCTTCTCAAGACATTAACTGATGGACTGGAGTGGTGTGGATTACTTGTGGATTATTGTGATGTTTTTATCAGCTGTTTGGATTCTGACGGCACCCATTCACTGCAGAGGATCCATTGCTGAGCAAGTGATGCAATGCTACATTTCTCCAAATCTGATGAAGAAACAAACTCATCTACATCTTGGATGGCCTGAGGGTCAGTACATTTCACAACAGACGATAAACGTTCTGTTTATAATGAGTGCACGCTGCCGATTTGTTGTCTACCGCTGCTCTTCTGGGTGGATTTTGATTGACTGTCCATGTTTTTATAGTTCATCAGCTAGAAAAAAAAAGGTTCTGAAAGTGATTCCAAAAATAGTTGTGGTGTGAACTATTCTCATAGAATTAGAATGATTATTTAACACTTTACAGTTATCGTTATCGTTATCGTTATCATTATAGTTTCCATGGTGCGAGCGTGTCTTTAAACTGCCAGAGAGATTATTAAAGCAAATGGCCTGTTAAATGAGATACATACTCATTGATGACCAGGTCTGGCGCGAAACACAGCATGTTTCCATTACACTGCTGGTATGACCTCCAGCCTAGTCCAAAGGACATGAGGAAGAGCCAGGAACACTGCAGGAGGGTCATCTGATCATCCAGGTGAAGGTTCCTAAACCCTAAAAAGAGCAAAATGGAGTTTTTAGTACATGCTGCGGCTGAAGATCTTCCACATGGCTTTTTAAAGATGTCACTCAACTTTTTTATTTTATTTTATTTTTTTACAAAATGAGATTTAAGACCAATTATAAATGAGGTGGTGTCCTTTTATTATTTCTCAGACAAAATGCTGCACATTGAAATGTCAAATAACAAAACTAAATAAAAAATTTAATGGAATCCCAAATCAAATAAATAATACAAATAAAATAAATATCTTCATATAACCAAACTAAGGTTTTGCCTGTGCTCTTTCCATTTAAAATTAGAGGCAAGCACAGCATTTTAATCACGATCCAAACAAAGATGTTGCAAACATGCAGCAGGAGCAGTTTTTGATTTAAATTAGATTGTATAATTTAAAGCAAAAACAGAATGGTCTCACTTCAGCTTTTGAAAATACACTACATAAAATACATTTTACGCAGATTCGCTCTCTTACAGCAGGTGGCGCTTATGGACCAGCAGCTATACATCGTTTCCTCAGTTACCGCTGTAAACAAAGCAGTGCTCAGCTTATAAACACTGCTTTAATATGCATTATGCAGAGGCAGGATGAAAAGAAAATACATTTAAACTTTTCTGAAGACAGTCAGTTCCCCTCAGAGATACACTCATATAAACCCCCACCCTCAACTGTCTCGCGATTTATTTTAACATTTCATACTTTTATCAGCTTGCGGTGCATCATTACATCCCTAGTCTCAAGTTGTACCTGGCAGAGCTTTGGCCCATTTGACCGCAGAGATGACCTGCCGGCCGCCCAGACTGTTCAGAGTGGTCATAAGGCGGGTGGAGGTGTCAGGGATGGTGCTGTCGTATCCGGCGTAGATGGTGTCCGGCTCGATGGCCTTTAGCAGTGACAGCATGGTGGGCACCACCTGGGGCATGGGTTTGGGCACCAGTGCCCGAGGCTCAGGCAGCGGAGGAAGATTGTGCTCTGGAATTGACGGCTGCTGGATTACCTTGCCGGGATGACGCCCCTTCTTGGTTTTACGGGCTGAGCGGTGAATGAGCAAAGTTTACGACAGTCAGTTTTCAAACTTCATGCATTTCCCTTGATTGAATTTAAGTTTTGTTATACATCTAAACTGACATGTGGGGACACACTGGTGTAATTATGTAACAAGTGCAACATTTCGTGTTACCCTCTAGGTTCATGCCTGCCATGAGGCATTTGCGGTAACGACAGGCAGGGCAGTTCTTCCGGCGGATTTTGTCAATGATGCAATCGTTCCGTCCAGCGCACAGGTAATTGTGTTGCCCTATGAGAATCAAGAATAGTGTGGATTAGACCGGATGCCTCAGGAGTCCCTCATCATGCACAGCTCCACATGAGCTGTCAAAAACTGTCCTGAAACCAACTGCATTGTTTTTAATTGCTATTTTTTAAATGCAGAGCCGTAGTTCGTATAGTTCAAATATATGCACTTAAAATACACACGGATTACAGTGTTTCCCCTGCCATTATATTAGGGGGGCGGCTCGCCCCCCCAACGGCACCCCCCGCCCCCCTTGAAGGTCAAGTTAATTTTATTTAATTATATTTTCTCTATAGCGCCAGATCACAACAGAAGTAATTTAAAGTTACCTTTCCTATAGAACAGGTAATTTAACCATTAAAAAGGAGTCCAGAAAAAAAAAACGGAAGCCCCCCCCCAAAGCCGTAAACCTAGGGGAAACACTGGATTAGCTGTAAAATCCTATTCATGTTATCTGTCTGCGTTAGAGTGATATTATCAGAACACATTTTCTCTGTCAGGCACAGATGCATTTCAACACCCACAGAATAAAAAGCATTTTGACCAATGAAAGACTCCGTACGAGTCGTTCGAAATAGACATGCAGTGAGAAAGTCAGGTCACACTAGAAGGACGTGTCTCTAAATCTACCTAATCAGGTAAAGAAAGAGAGGCAAATAATCACATTTTAGTTACTAGCAAAAAACACTTGCTTCGCGCCTGGCGTCACATTGTGCCACGTGTATGATAGGGCCCAAAATGTGTCAGAACTTTCTCACCTTCAACTGCTCTCTTAAAGAAGACTTTACAGCTTCCGCAGGTGAGGACTCCATAATGGCAGCCTGAAGCTTCATCAGAGCACACGAGACAGCTCTTGTGTGTGCCGGACTTCCCGGCAGCTGAGGATGTGGCGGTGCGGTCTTCAGGTCTGAAAACACACAAACACAGGGATGCGTGTATATTAGCTAACAGGAATAATACCGTTTAAAGATTTTGAATAATGAATTAATATGGTTCAGCAGGAATGGCAAGAACTAACCATCAGCACACATTCTCTTTTATCTTCATCTTTTTACTAACATAGTAATATACAGTGGTGTGAAAAAGTGTTGGCCCCCTTCCTGATTTCTTATTTTTTTGCATGTTTGTCACACTAGTTTCAGCCCGCTCCTATGCCAATGCAATAATTATGCAACATGAGAATGAGGAAGCGAGACTGGCCACCAGGGGGCGACGGCTGAACGACGGCCTAAACGTTAGCACTGCTCCACCTCCACACTGAGCCACATTTGCAACGCCTACACATGCATTCAGCGTGAGAGAAAGACTATGAGTAGAGAATATGAGTAGGGCTTCACAGTGTTGTAGACGCATGCAAATCTATCAAGTGAAGCTGAGCGAAAAGGAGGAGAGGACAGTTGCATATCCTCTTTAGACAACATGTTTCCCTCTAACAGATAGCAAATGCCAGACAAACAGCTGTCATATCAATATGATTTTCAGTCTAAATTTTAAACCTTTAAACGTTGCGGGCTATAAGTACATGGAAACATAGCTATGTAGTTTTGGATTTTGTTTTCCCTTAATAATAAAAACCTTCATTTAAAAACTGCACGTTGTGTTCACTTGTGTTATCTTTTACTAATATTTAAATTTGTTTGATGATCTGAAACATTAAAGTGTGACAAACATGCAAAAAAATAAGAAATCAGGAAGGGGGCAAACACTTTTTCACACCACTGTAAGTAGTTTCAGCCCGCTCCTATGCCAATGCAATAATTATGCAACATGAGAATGAGGATGCGAGACTGGCCACCAGGGGGCGACGGCTGAACGACGGCCTAAACGTTTAGCACTGCTCCACCTCCACACTGAGCCACATTTGCAACGCCTACACATGCATTCAGCGTGAGAGAAAGACTATGAGTAGAGAATATGAGTAGGGCTTCACAGTGTTGTAGACGCATGCAAATCTATCAAGTGAAGCTGAGCGAAAAGGAGGAGAGGACAGTTGCATATCCTCTTTAGACAACATGTTTCCCTCTAACAGATAGCAAATGCCAGACAAACAGCTGTCATATCAATATGATTTTCAGTCTAAATTTTAAACCTTTAAACGTTGCGGGCTATAAGTACATGGAAACATAGCTATGAGTCAACTGGTAGAGATTTTGCTGTATCATTTGTAATAAAGTAAATACATTTGCATGACTATCAGCAGACAGGACTGCTTTACTGTATTCACAAGCGAGGGAAACAAAGAAACATGATTTAATATTAGTTTTTACTTCATATTAATTTTATCTAGTGTTTATTGTCACAGCATGCATTTTATTGCCCTTTAAAACTAAAAACACAAAATATTTTTTTTATAAAGACCTGTAAAAGAAGCAACCTGTTCATGCACGCTTGAAGTTTTAATAGCATCTTGTCATACCTTTCAAGCTCAACCTGATCTCTATCACCTAGTAAACATTTTAATAATAGTTTTAGTCATAATTGTCTGTTCCAGGGCTTTTCAACAGTTGGCCCGCAGGCCAAATGTGGCCCTGAGATTAGAAGAGCACTGCTCTATTCAGTGAGCGAGAGCATTATGCATCAGAAAACAGAACAGCTGTGTCAAACACCACCACCTGTAACAGAAATGATGAGAGGATGTAGGTCTATTAGGGTGGAACTAGGGCTGCAACAAACAAATTGATTAAACTAAAGATTATTAGAATGATTAACTGACTAATCATCGCTTATTTCACTGATTAATCAGTAGGCTCTGATCGATTATTCCACTTTTGCAAATTGTTAAAATACTCATATTCTATACATATTCATATAGAGCTGCCTTATAGCAGAAAATCAAGTTGTAATTCTAACTGAAAGTGACACTGACACTATTTTTTCATGTTTAATACTGTAATGCTGCTTGCTTTATAGCAGTCTATTGCATAAAGCGTCATATAAATAAACGTGAATTAACTTTACTGTAGTGCCAATTGCAGAGCTGGTGCAAGAAAAAACCCACTTTAATATTTATAAAAGTTATGATATTTTGATTAAAACTTTTGAGGTCATTTTTTAAATGAGACATGCATGGATTATTTTTTCACAATAAGATCTATGACATGCATTTAGAAAATAGATGAGGTGGATTTTCTTTTCATGTCGACTTTAAATATAAATCGGCCTGTGTTTGCAATGAAGAGGAATTTGAGTTTGAAAATGAAGAGATACCCGTGGCTAAAATCCCACTCTCTTTATTTTCTGTTTACTTATTTATAGACTGCATTTGATGGCCACAAAAGCACGTGACTTCCTCCACATTACATATCCATCTGCTAGTGATGTATCGATCTCTACAGTGGGCTGAAAATCTCACATTCAGTTTGGTTACGGGGCAACATTTTAGTTGTCAGATGCTAGATTAGTCTATTTGTTGTAATAGCTTCATTATACCTTAAAAGGCACATAATGACATTTTGCAAAAGGTTGTGGGTTTTAATCATCACCTTTATGACAGAAATGCCTAATTTGTGGCTGAAGTCTTCAGTCTCCCAGGATCGGAGAGCAAAAGCAGCAATAAAAAAAAGGAAATAGCACCTACCCTGAGGAGAACCACATGAAAACAGAAAGAGGAAGTTGAGCATGCCATCGCTGTGTCTGATATTTTTGCCTTGCCATAAGACACAGCCTCATGAATAAGGCAGCAAGTACAAACACACTGCATTTTACACATCAATTCTTAAAATAAAACTAAATTGTTCCATGAATATATAATCACAACACGAGAAGCTCTTTCTTTCCTTTTTGCACAGATGACTCACCATGTTTATAAAAAAAGGAAAATGTGGGTCACATTTACTTTCCAACCAGTCTAACCACACTGGTTTGCTCAACCCGAAATACAGTTACATTATCTGCATTCTTCTCAATGGAAATGTCACAGGGTTCAGACAGTAATCATTAGTGCACAATGAGGTAAATAGAGAGGAAAAAGACATTTTATAAATACTATTACACAGGCAAGTGTGCTGTAGTATATGAATATTAGCAGATTCAGCACGGCTGTCACATGATTTCAGTGTTTCCCACAGACTTACACTCTACTTGTGGTGGCACTTCCCCCATTGGGAGGGGGGGTTGTTTTGTTTTGTATTATAATCAGGGCTCGACATTAACGCTTCTCCGCTTGTCCGGGACAAGTGAATGTTTTGGACAGGCAAGTAAAAGAGAAATTTACTTGCCCAATCGGACAAGTAACTTGAAAATGTCAATACCAAAAACAATAATAACTGCCTTTATTTGTGATATAGCCTTAGTTATAGGGGTGTGTGATATATATCGTTTGCGAGAATATCGTAATTGTTGTTTAACGATGTGTGATTTGACATTATCAAGTATATTGCAAAAATCAACCATTACACACCTACAGAGTGCACGCATATATTAGGCCTACATAACGAAGTCTAGCTGTGCGTTCACACCGCCGCCGTCGAGAGCGTCAAAGTGGCCGGAAGTCATTCATTTTCAATGTGGGCCGGCGTCGAGCAGCGGCGCGGCGCGACTTGGACGTTGAGGGCGTCGAGGAGAGTTGAAATCAGGTCAACTTTATGGTAATGAGCTATGACGCGGTTCGGCGGCATCTGGCGGCAACCAATCGGAATGTAGAAGTCCAACGCTTTAGAGGATTCCAGAGAACCCAGTCCTGTAAACTTTGGTTCCGACCACATTAGTTCCCAAGCAAAATGGAGAGGTTGATTATTGCTTTTTTTTTATTTTTTTTATTGCAGAGAACGGAAACATACAAAGAATAAGCATACATCACATAATATCAACCACAAAAATAAAATGGAAACAAATCACAAAAA